GCACATGGATAGCTACATCTGAAGTGATACTACATTATTGCGCATTTGAGCAGTCGAAACGACGTCATGTGCTGCGATTCGCATAGTTCCTTATTGAGCATGCCGATAATCCCAGCGGCTTCAGGTAACTGGGCTCGGACTCATCCATATCTTCACGAAGTCATGCCTCCACCGCTTCACCGCGTTCCAAATTTGGCTGGCGGCGTCCGTTCGCGGAGCGCAGCGTGGGCCGTTGGCGGCGTCCACCTGGGCGGCGGCGGCGGCGGCGGCGGCGGCGGCGGCGGCCGGCGCTCGTGCAGCACGCTCGGGCCGCGCCGGCGCCGGCGCCGGGAACCGGCCCGCGTCCGGGTCCAGAGCGGACTTTTCGCATTCCCCGCGGAGCAAGTCACCGGCTTATTTTGGTGGGAACGCTCGGCGGTGCGGCGACAGGCGCCGCCGACGGCGACCGGAGAGACGCGTCCCGGCGCGCAAGGCGCCGGATGGTGCGCGCGGCGCCCGCCGGCCGGTGACAAACGTTCTGGGCTGGGGTACTGGAGGCAGACTGTACTTTGGGAGAGCTACGTGCATGTGGCTTTGATGAAAGAGTTAGTTGTCATGCCATAGCAGTAAGCGGTGCCGAGAGCTACGTGCCTGTGCCGAATCAAGGTGATGCTTTCATCATCAGTTTCACGTCTACTGGTAGCCAAAATGTTGAACGTCACCAAACAATACATTGTCACATCTATTTAAATGTGAAGGAGTAGTTCTCGTAACTTATTGGGTGGTTTAGGCGCTCATGATCTTACCGAAATGGCAAAAGCAAAGACTACAAGTATAATTTTTGCACAGGTATAAGGAGAGCTGCGCAATCGTGTAGTCAGACTCCCACCAATCCTGCGCCATTCTCGACAGAGGGCATCATGAAATCACAATAGTTAAGCCACAAAGTTAATCCTTTACATAGTCATGTATATTCAGCGCGCCCATGAACCCACGCTATCAGTATCCACCAGGGGAGACCGTAACATCATGGCGGTCAAGCCCCAGGCGTCAGCCGTTGCAGATATGACACACCTTACTATCAGAGGGCCTAGACCCACTGTGGGCGCGCCCTGCTAGATGAAAGTACCGCCGCCGCGGCACGGGACGGCACGGCCATTAACCGTAACCCTCGGCTCGGTCGGGACCAGATGTGCCGTCGCCACCCCTCGCCAGCGCCGGCCGAGGGGGGGGGGGGGGGGCGCACCTGGCGCCGGCCGGCGTCGGCTCGTTAACACGCTGACGACGCGCTGTGCACCGACGGCCGGCCAGCTGGGCCGGCGCCCCCAGCTGGTGACCGACTGTGCCGCGCGGGGAAGGGGGAAGGGGAGCCAACATATCACCGGGGAGGAGAACTGGACCGGGCGTCGCGGGTTGGAACTATGGGCGATCACTGGGGACGCCCGGCTACAAACTCGGAACAGCGGGGACCGCTGCTGCCATCTGACGGCGGAGCAGGCAAACTTAAGGTTCCGGGTGGCGCCGTTGGGCTCGGCTGTCGCGGCCGTCGCGCGGGCCAGCGTCTGGACTCAGCTGGGGGCACGTGGCCGTGCGTGACGGCGCCACGAACCAGAGCAGATGGAGCGGCGATTACCTGTCAGCTACGCGGCTGTTGACGCGCTCGGCTACTGCAGATTATGCCCAAACGCGCTGCCGATTGATGGGCCACCTGTCGTCGGCGCTGCATGGACCCGGCAGTGGCGTTGACTGTCGTGATTGCGCTGACGTCGGTGCGACGTCGCGTGTCTGATTCAACCTCCCTGCTTGGTTTATTGCCATGTATACAGCAGACTGACAAGGAGCAGTGTTCCATCTTCAGCCCGGCCAAACGGACCGGTGTGACCTCGCTCGCGGCGCAAATGGCCGCTTAATCGGGCGTTCCATGCGGAAGCCAGACGCCAAGGTCGGAGCTCGCTGACAAGCGGCAGAGCACTTCTACGATTGCGATCCTGTTACGCAGCTTCCGCCGACTTCCCCTGCGTGCCGCCGTCGCACCGCTGCGTGAAAACAAGTCGATTTCGCGGCGCTATTTGGAGCGGATTATTCGGATATGTGACCACTGCGGCGCGTCCTTGAGAGCCGGCTTTGTTTTTGCCTGAGGGCCGCCGGACAATGTTGGCACGTTATGACGTTCAGTCTCGCTGCTCTGTATCCGGGTGACGTTCTGTTTGCCGGTCTCGTTAACAGCCTCAACACGATACGTCAGCTGTCTAGTTTTTGCTTTAGAAGCGACACGAGCATTGAAAAGTGACCTCCGGGCCCATTTCGTCCGAACGTCGCGCTGGGTCTCGGGCGGGAAGCCGCCTTGATTAAAGCGGCGCCTTTATGGACGTAAGGCGAGATGTTCGCGGAGGAAGAGCTGAACTGAATGGCGGTTGCCGTCCGGCTCCCAGCCCTTGATGGACTCGGACGGGGCCGCTGGGACGGGGTCGCTGCCGGGCGGCCGGCCTCGGCTGGAGCTGAAGCCGGCCCGACCTCCGAGGCTGCCAGCGGTCCAGCCACGGCGGCTGAGTCTCGTTATTAGCCCGTTTGTCACTTGACGCTTTGTCTGATCTCCCCACTTTGGCCTGGCGTGGATGGCACCGCCATGTAGTGGTCGGGACCACCGCTCTCCAGAATCACGGGGTGCCGGTAGTGTAGTGGTTAACGTGTCTGTGTTAACCTCTGCGCGTCTGGGAAACCACAGGTTTTTGTGCTCGATTCCCCGCGATGCCCACCCTTCCTGCCAGGGTGAGAGGCAGGTGACGCCTTATAGCTTCAGCAGCTGAGTGCGTCGTAAAACCCCAATGATACGCACACACCAGAATCCTCAGCTCCGCACGCAGGACGCGACAGGCGTGCTCCTGCTGCCCTGGCTGGTACTGGGCCTGTCGCCGCCGCGGTGGACGGCCGGCTGCCCTCCGCCCGCGCCCAACCCCAGACGACCCGCCCGCGGTGCAGCGCCGGGCGGGTGGGCACTCGCGGTGTCCGCCGGCGCAGCGATCGGGCGCTGACGGCGGGCCGGCCGCGCGCCGCGGCTCGTCGCGTAGTGGTCCTTCCCGCCGCCGTCCTGGCCGTCGCTGTCTGCGGTGACGCTGGGCCTCGCTCTGGCCGCTGACGCTCGTGGGGTGCGCCTTTGACCGCGCGCAAGTTCACGAGCGTTGCCAGACACGCGGCGGGTCGCTCTGGTGTGCTGGGTATGCGTCCAGGTGCGGCAAAAAGGTGAACGGTCTCGGGAATGGGGAAACAGCTGAGGGCTGAGGTCGGGCTGGAGCGGTGAGTGGGTGCCAAAGGATGCCTCAGATGCCTTCGAGAATTACTCGGCGATCAATCAAGAACGCAGTGAAGGTCGTATGCTGTGGAGGTGTACGGAAACACCTTTCAGCAGTCTTAAACGGAGGGTGCGACAACCGTGGCGAAAACATATGGCTGTGAGCGACGATGTGTGCATGACAGCCCGATTAAATGTCTGTCTTGCATGACGACATGCAGTTCTACTGAAACAAATTGCGAACTCTTCACTTCACTTCCGAACACAATTTCAATGCCAATTATGAGATCAGACCAGATCGTACCAGATCAGAGATCGTAACGCTATCAGCGATAAATGGCGATCTTCGCAGCTTGGATGGGGCCGTTGTAAGCCTTATCTCTCGGATCCCCGTTCATCCACGCGGTAGCGGAATGCGCTGTCCATCGGGGACGGGGTTGGCCGTCGCGTCGGCGTCCGACCGAAGTACTGGGCCGACGTCCGAAGCAGGCCGACGGCGCGCCGGGTCGAGCTCCAGTGTTCGCCGTACAGGCCGGTGATCGATGACGACCGCGTGGCGTTCAGGAAGGCCGTGAGCTGCCCGCCAGGAACCCGAGCCGGGAGGCGGCGCGCGGTACGGCGGGACCCGTCAGCGGCTCGGTGCTCGTTAGCGGCGCTGGCCGGGGTGAGACGGTTCGGGCCGCGCGGCAGCCGGCGCACGCTCCGCTCCATCACCGGCCACGTGCCGCCGACGGCTCGCCACCGGCCGGCGCTGATGGCGCGTGGCAGACGGCATGCCGCCGGAGTGAGGGGAGACGGTAGGGGCGGGACGCCGCGCCTTCTCTGCACCCCTCCCCCGACCTGCGATAGCTCGTGTCAGACGGCGCGCCGCCGCACGAAGGAGGGCGAGGGAGACAGGAACGGCAGGGGCGGCGGCGCCGCTCCGTCTGGAGACGCCGCCGCCGCCGGCCGGCGCTTCGGCAGCGGTCGATACGGATCGGACGGCCATCGAGGCCGTGTGTCGGAGGGCGCGAGGGGACCCTCCGACCGCCGTGTGCCCCGGTGTGCGTGGCGGCGGCGGCCGCGCGCCCTGTATCGACTGCCCGCGCCGGCCGCCGCGCGCTCCCTCCACCTGGGCGCGCTCGTTCGCGCGCGCGCGCGCGCGCGTCGCCGGGATCGATGGCGTGCCGTCGTGAGCGGCGCGGCGACGCTGTCGACGTCGACGGCGGGCGGCGGCGGTCGACGATCCCGGGTCGGTGCCGGGCGTTGGACGGACGTGGGTGGCGGCGTTCAGGTGAGCTCGCGACGTGGCGGGACGGGAATGAAGGCGGAGGCTGATGTGGTCAAAGGGCTGAAGTGCCGGGCGTCGGCGAGGTCTTTCGTCTTTTGAGGGTCTGACCCGTCAGGGTGCCATGGTTCTGGCCTTGCGGTTCGGACGGTTGGCGGAACAAGCGACGCTGTCCAGTGATCGAGGGCGCCGTATTCCGTGCGAACACGCCCTCAGCGGCCGTGCCGGCCGGGCGTGCGTACCGTGGAGCCGACCCGACCTTGGCGTGTCGCCGCGTTGGCCCATGTCGTGTCCATGTCTCTACGCGTCCGTTCGTGTGTGTGTGTGTGTGTGTGTGTCTGTGTGTGCGAGCGGGTCCGCGGGGCGGAGAGAGAGAGAGAGAGTGAGCGGCGGCAGGCGGCCGGCCGGCCGGACGGAGCCGGGCGGCAGTCAGTCGCGCCGCCGCGCTGCCGCCGTTCGCAGCGCCCGCGCCGCGCAGCGCCGCGAGCCATCGCCATGCTGTTCGGCGAGCAAGACGTGCTTGTGTACCAGGAGGCGGTGCTGGCGCGGCGCGGCCACCGGCTCGGCTGCCGCGCCCACCCGCTCTCGTTCGTGCGCCCTTTCCCCGCGCACAGCGGCTACTACCTGCGCCTGCTGTACGGACGGACCCGCAGGTAACCGGCGGCCTTCCGCGGCACAGGATGCGGGCATCAGGGCGCTGGACTTCGGCGGGCCCGGGGGTCGGGCCTGTCTGCCGGGCCTGGGAACGCGGAGTCTGCGGTCACAGCGACTGCGCTGCAGACCCGGCGTTTGCGGCTCCGTGTCCCTGTCCATAGCCGTGCGTGGGCAGCGTAACTATCCTGCGGTTGGTCTGTCGTCATTTCACTCGGCTCCCTTCTCCCCCCCCCCCCCCTCCCTTCACCCCGGTCGTGTTCGGTATTGCGATTCCCAGGCGCGTGACCGCGCTAAACTGGCCGCCAGCCGGGCGGCCGGCCCGACGATAGCGGATGGCCGGCCGCTCAGATCGCTCGGGGCCGGCAGTCCGTGTCTAATGCGCTTCAGCGCCGGGGCGTGAGGACGATCAGCGGGGGCGTGCGCCCACCACGTCCGCCGGCGCGGCCCGGAGATGGGCACCGGGGGACGCAGCCGGGCGGGCCGCCGCCGCCGCGCCGACAAGCGACGCCCGGAGAGCTGCACGGCCGGCCCAGAGCGCGGCGGCGGACGGGGCTATCGCGGCGTCGCGTGATGGTCCCGTTTCAGCTGGGGTTCCGGGCTGGGAAGCCAGGCGTCTGGCGGGCCATCCACACTGTCGGTCCGCGTCGGATGATCTGGGGCGCTCTCTGGGGTGTGGTGGGTCTCGTAGTCAAGCGGAAGGCCCCCCCAGCGAAACAAAGATATCTCGCGGGCTACAGTAATGGATGCATCTAGTTTGGTCATTTGGCTGGAAAGAGATGATAGTGCCGACTGCCGGGATTGGCTTAATCGTAGTGAACGAGTTGGGCTCTCCGCATGTCCTAGTGCGGTGATTGGCTTCACCCATGCGAGTCAAGACCATGCCCTTTATCTCTGCCAAGAGCTGTCGTTCACGCTCGTGCGCTGAGTGCCTACAGTCCGTCATAGTTTGGAGCTGTTTGTCATAAACGCTCGTCCTCCGGGGACACAATTTAGTGATATTTTTTGAGCCGGCATTTTCCGATGTTTTGCAAGCAAACTTTTCATTCCGTTTACCCCGTGTTGCCAAACGAGTGGGTCGCTTGGACGGTTGCCTGCTTTTGATGCCTGACATTCTCCATAATATTTATATGCTGCCGTTTTCGTTGCCGTCGGCCGGAAGTTTCGAAACGAGCATTATCGTGCCGTGGGAAGAGCGTGCATGTTCCATATTAGCATAAATTTGTACGAAACCGAGGCCAGATAGAAGCGCAGCAGTTTTGACAAACAACGACAAACAACTTTTGATGCCTGACATTCTCCATAATATTTATATGCTGCCGTTTTCGTTGCCGTCGGCCGGAAGTTTCGAAACGAGCATTATCGTGCCGTGGGAAGAGCGTGCATGTTCCATATTAGCATAAATTTGTACGAAACCGAGGCCAGATAGAAGCGCAGCAGTTTTGACAAACAACGCCAAGCCACACACGGCGCCGCGGCGTGAGATCTCCGCCGCCGGAACAGATCGCGATAGTCTCGGTGAATTGCTACACACGTGCCCCGCTTGGTCAAGCAGAAAAAGAGAACGTAAACGTTAGTCGAGCGTTGTCTGAGGCGGCTGGACAGCCACATGGCGATGCATATCGGCGCGCGTCGCTCATGTCGTGTCGCGGTTGCAAAAGCCTTGCCTCGGCGCCGGGACGGTGCGCTCCTGCCGGCTCCGCGCCGGTGGAGCGGTGCGGGCGCGGCCGGCGGCTGCAGGGAGGCCCATGCGGGCGCGTGCCCGTGTTTGACGGCTGGCCCGTGTTTTGTTGGGCAACGGCGTGTCCGCTGGCTTGGGCAGATGTTGATGTCGCCGCGCGTCTGGATGTGTACTGTCAGAAGTCAACAGTAGGGGGTGTCAACAGATGTCAGGTGACGGACGTGTATATCGCGTCACGGGTTACTGCCATCTTGAGAAAACTTAACCCATTTTTGTTCCGTGCTGGGCTGGAACAAACACAGTGACATGTGGCGACACTCGACGACAGCTTCCCGTGAGCACGCTTTGTAAGCATCAGCCGAATCAGCAGACTGAAATAACTGACGGACGCTCGAGCGAACAAAACAGTTCCGTCGTTTTTACACGGGAGACGTCTGTTTCTAGCCGACCCCCGGCGAGAGGTCAGCCGCTTCGTCTCGGCGCCGTGATGAGCCGGCCAGCTCTGTTGGCTGTCGTTCATTCCATTCAGCCCTAATGCCTGTAATCGCGGCGGCGGCGGCTCCATTGTGTGTGTGCCGCCGTGAGACGGCGGGCCGGGTGCGAGCCGGGCGCGGGCGGCTGGCCGTGCCCGTCGCCCCAGATGCCCGGCCGCCGCCGCCGCCGCCGCCGCAGGCAGCGGGTACGGCCCCGCGGCACGGCCGGCGCCGGGACGGTCGGCGGTGACGCGTGCCGCTGGCGGGCTTCGCGGCCTGGTACGCGTGGACGGGCGAGTCGCCGGCGCTGCGCCGCGGCTTCCCGGAGCGGCGGGGTCCGTCCCGACCCGGCCGCTCTAGCGGCGCTGATGTCCGGGGCTCGGCCGTCAGCGCCGCGCCCTGCGAGGCCCGGCGATGTAGCCTGGCCGTCCGCCGCGGCCGGACGTCAGCCGCCGGGCCGGCCCCCGACTGCCACCGGAGCAGGCCGGACCGGGGAGGGCCGGGCGGCCCGGTGTGACGGCCGGGTCGCCGCCCCGCGCTCGTGCGCCGGCCGTTTTGCGCGCCGCGCGCGCCGCCGGATCGGTGTCGGTCGTCACGAGTCATGCGCGGCGACCGTGCGTGGCGCGCGCCGCGCCGGTTTCTCCTCGTGAACATTACCGATCGGGGGTGCTCGTTAGCAGGTGGCCGCCGGTGGTACCGGGCGCTCGGGGGGCGCGACGGGTCGGCACCACTTTCATCGGCGGGCGCGCCGCCGCTGGGCGCCGTGAGGCTGTCCGGGGCGGTACGGCATCGCGCGCACCCTGTTTCGGACGCCAGGCGCAGGGCGCAGATCCGAGTAACCGACATTGGAGTGCCGCGTGCGCGTGGCAGATGGAGATAGTTTGGGGTCGAGGCTCCAGCATTGTTCATCGGGCTTCGGCATGCCGGTGCGGAGCGTCCGGCGCTGCTTTGTCGCGGCGACGAAGCGGCATAAAAAAATGCACGCACGGCACTGCGGACTGCGCAGTGCAACCGGTTCCAGTTTTCCGAGAAGGCGACAAGATGTACGCTCTTCTCTAGACCGGAGTAGCGGTACGCGTCAGAAAGCGTCGGTCTTGTGCTGCCGTCTCGCGACCGTTGGACTGCGACGCTGATGGCTCGTGCGTCGGAGAAGGTCCTCAGCCCCGTCCGGGAGCACTTTACGTGCGGAATTCGCTCCGTTAAAGCACGCGGCTCTCGAGCACCGTTGGCCGTCTGACGACGCGACCAACTGGAAACTCTCAGCGTGGCGTCGGGCACACTCGACGCGGAGCTGGCGCCGGCCGGCCGAATCCATTAACATTTGTGGAATAATTATCGGGCGCCGGCGATCTCTCCCACTAATGACACGACCTGTCGGCGCCATGTGGCCCGGCCGGAGAAGGAGTTCTCGGCAGCGCTCGGCCGCCGTCGGCCCTCAGCGCGTCGGGCTGCTGACTTTGCCGGTGTCCGATCGGATCTGAACTCGGCTGAATACGTGATCAGTTCATCAGCCGGAGGCGGACGGGCTGTCAGCGGGGTGTCATTGTGGCGTGTTGTTCGCCGTGCTGTCGGTGGTGTTTTACTCGGTTGCTTCTTCCAGCGTGCTGTTTCGTCGTGTTTGGCGAGGCCCGTCGCCTGACCGACCGCTGTCCGTTCACAGCCCTGCACCGCTGCCAGCGATGACGATCGAGGAGTGCTCCAGCCCGCCGGCCGGCGGCGCCACGCGACGCAAGCCGGACGCGTGCGTCAAGCGGTCCCGCATCACCACCGGGTGAGTGCAGAGCCGATCTCGCAGTCAACGGACGGGGTCTCCCCACTGTCGCGCGGCCCGGCCGCCGCCGCACGCGCCGTCCGGGGCTCGCCGTCACCGGACGGAGTCTCCCCACTGTAGCACGGCCCGGTCGCCGCCGCACGCGCCGTGCCGGGATCGGCGGCCCCGCGTGTCCGCCACGGAGACAGGTGCTGGGCCTGGTGATGGTAGAGGCGCAATCGGCGGGTAGACCGTGGCTGGGAAAATGGGCGTGCTCGCCTTGGGAGGGGTCGGCGTCGTGGGTGTGTTTCTGAGATATGTAGACGCAAGGAATGTGCGCGCTCATGTTTCACAAACGTTTGCGTGCTTGGATGCCAAGGACTGGATAAATGGCGAGATGATTTTGCGCGGCGGTTGTCATAGCGACCGACTTTGCAGCGTCCTCGCCGCATTTTTTGTAGTTCGGACTGCCGCATTGTCATGGTAATGCGGCATTCATGCTTGGAAGAGCGGCCGAACTCTGCTGGCTCGATGGCGTCGGCGCGGAGCGCTGCCGTTTCCCGTGGTCCGTCTTCGTTAGCGGCTTGAGATCTGCGCCGCTGGGAGGTGGTCCCGGCGGTGTCCCACGCCCCGGAGCGCCGCTACACGTGAGAATCGACAGCTGGAAATGGGGACGATTGATGGTCACTGACAACGGATCCAGGTTAATTGTGGTCAACGCTCGTTCCTGATGCTGCGCCATCTGCATACCCGCATCTCGGCGAAACTGGAGCGCACCCGGAGCCAGTCGGGTGGCGTGTCTCGCCGCGGCTGCGGCCCGAGGTGCGGACGCCGCGGCCGGCTCCGCGAAACGGCGGCCGGCTGGGGGCGCGGGAGACGGCGCGGTGGCCGGCCGGCTGTGGCCCCGGCGGCGGAGGCGGACGGCGTCCGAGGTGTGGGAGTCGCCGTGCGTTGTTTGGCATTGTCCTACCGGGCAGCCCGGGAACAAGTGTTGACAGGAGAGAGAGATAGGTCCCGCCGTTCATTGGCGACGTCGCCAAGAGCTACGTGGACCCCCGGCGGAGACCAGAGCCTGGAGAGGGAGGGGGGGGGGGGGGGGGCAGGCAGGCGGGCTCAGGAAGCAGGCGTCTTCGGTCGGCGCGGCGTACTGTCGGCCCGCTCCCAACATCGGCGAGGCTCTGAAGGTCATCCTCATCGGTGTTCGTAATGACCTTAAATGGGCCTTAAACGTCAGCGCCCCTCACAATGAAAACATCACGGCGCTGAGCTGGTAAATGTGCTGTACGGCATAGTTACAAATCAGTGCATAACAGCGCAGCGAGAACAGCGTGCTTATCAACGTTTGCTCTGCGCGATCTTCACCGAGCCGTGTCCACCGTCACCGCAGACCGTGGCTTTATGCCGTGGTTTTTCTCTTCGTGTTACGATTATTGTCCGGCGGCATCCCTTTCCTCAGCTTTATACCTCTCATAGCTGGGGCCCATAGCGAGCGACACTAATGAAGTCGGCATTGAAACAGTGAAATCAGAAGTCGGTAGTATATATGACATGCGTATCGTGGGAGAGCTTTCCACCAGCAGTAAAAAGGAAACCGAGTGATTGCCACTACCCGCCGAAACTGATCTCTGGACTTCCTTACAACCCGTGACCGCACTGGCAAAGTGGCGCAGAAGAACTGGCCGCCCCGGAACAGGTCACGTTTATGGCTCTGCCCGGTCCCTGCGTCCAGCGAAAGCGGCCCCTTTTTACGGCCGATTCTGCTGCATCATTGTGCACCCGTGTATTTTCACGTGGCTGATGTCGGGCGGGTCGGCCGCGTGCGGATCTGCACCTGGAGGGGTGCGCTCCTGCAGAGGGCCTCGAGCACGTCGGTCGAGTTGCGGTGATGGCACTCCGACCGGGACGATGGGTACCGACGCCGGTGCCGATCGGACGAGGATGAGACGAAGAGGGGGCGTGGTGACGGTCCGCGCCGTGGTCGCGGGAACGGCGCCGGGGAACGCGTCCGCCGCCTCGCCGCGCCACGCTGGCAGCGCGGCACCGTGGCGGCAGGGCCGGAGACGGATCCGAGCTAGCCGCGTGAGACCAGGCGGCCGGCGTTGCGTCAGGGGCGAAAAGTGCCGAGGACCGCACCGTGACCCGGCCCCGCCCCGTGACCCAGCGAGCGGGGACCGGTCCCATGTGGGTCGGCGGTGACCGGCCGACGGCCGACGGCCGGCGGCCGGCGGCCGGCGGCCGGCGGTGTCGACAGCGGCCCGGCCACCGCCGGCCAGATGTCCGCCGCCAAGCGCGCCGCGGCTGTGAATGCGGTCGGGTTTCCGTAGAGGATTAGCGAAGAAGTGCGGTTGGTGTGAAATATGGAGGGTGGTCCTGTGGGAAATGGAGTAGGCACGCGAGGGGATTATAGCTGGTGCGAAATAAAGAAAGTGCTCCTAATAAGAGCTGGAATACTTAAAAGATAATAGATAACCATATGTGAGGTACAGGGGCCTTGGGAGGGATGTGGATGTTCGATTCTGAGAGAGGACGTGCTGCGAAAAAGCGTTGGGTCTAGCTTTTGCCGTGTGAATCCCACACTAGCCTGGCCCTCGCCAGCGTGGAAGGCTGCGGCGCCGGCGATCCCGATGATGGGGTGCGTGCGCTCGTTGTGTAAGAGATCCGACCATATCGCCACCAGCTGCAGGCGCTTGCTTCACCGAATCAAGTGTCGCGCTGATGGCGCGGCACGCCCGTCGAGCGCAACAGGTGCGGTTTGCCACGGACGGCGTTGCAGAAATCGGCCCGTCTCCGACGTTCCGGTCGAGGCCGCCGCTGCTGGCCGGCAGTCTCCGGCCGGGCGCGGCATCGCCGGTGGACGGTTCGGCCGGGCCTGCCCGCTCCGTCGTGTCGCCACCGCGACGCGTGCCGGCTCCGCTGACGGCGGCGTCCGTTCTCCAGGGCTGTCTGTGGCGCCGGCACGGCTGCGGCCGCCCCTGACCCGACCTGTGGCCGGCCGGGAGAGCCCGGTCGTCCCGCGGCTGCTAGCCTGGAACTGGCGGCGGCGATCGTCGCCGGTCCGAGGCGCCGTGCAGACCAATGACAGCCGGCCCGACCCGCGGGCACACGGCGCGACGGACTCGGGTAGAGGCTGGGACTGCTAGTCCGGCCGGGTGGGTGACTTCGCACCGCGTGCGCCGCTCACGCAGTGATGGCGGGCGGGCCGTGAGGCCGGGCCCGCCTCACGCAGTGATGGCAGGCGCCACGTGCGGGCCCGTTGACGCCGCCGGACGGCCCCGGCGAGCGCGGCGCACGGTCACCGTCCAGTGCTCGGGCGTGCTGGCTGCGCGTGTCGCCAGCTGAGGTGCCGGCAGCCTGATCCGTCGCAGTTGGTTCGGTCGGCGACCGGAGCGGACCGGACTGGCCGGCGTGTTCACGGCCGCTCACCGGGTCGGCCAGGCCGGGTGGCGGACAGGGCCACTCCCGGGCATGAAGCTCTCGGAGCGGAACCATACGGCCGGTCGCGTCACGCGACTGCCCCGACTTGCGGGCCGCAAACTGACGCCGCCGGACGCGGCTACGATCGCCGGGTGTCGGCAGGCGAGAGCTCAGGGGTGGTGGTCCCGCTGCTAACTCCATGGTGACCGGTCCGGCTGTGGCCGCCCGTCAGCCGTGGCTGCGTGCGTGCGCTCGTCGCGTGCGTGTGTGCGTGTGTATAGGGAGGTCGGCTCTGGCAGCTTTCGTGTGGCGTCTGCCCAACATCGGCCCACAATCTGGTCCCACTGGCTGTCCGTTGGTCGGTCAGCGATGTGCCTCTCTGTCGTCCAGCGTGTGACGTGACGCTGTACCACTCCGTGTCGCAGGTACGAGTTGAGCCAGGACCTGGCCGAGCGGCAGGTGGCCTGCCTGGAGCGGCGCTACGGCGGCCGATGCGCGCGCCGCGCCGCCACCACCATCCAGCGCGCCTACCGCCGGCACGCCCTCACCAAGACGTTCCGCGCCATCACCTCCACGGCGAAGACCGAGAAACGGCTGTCGCGCCGCTTCGAGCTGCCGGACGGCTGGCCGCCACCGCCGCCGCCTGCGCCCGAGCCGACGCCGGCGGCGGCGGCGCCGCTGCCGGCAGTGCGAGGCGGCGCCAGCCTCAACTGCAGCCTGGAGAACGAGTCGGACCTATCCGACCGCGAGTACCAGAGCTACGGCTACCTGAACGAGTCGACCTACATCGGCGAGTACCTGGCGCCGCGGGTAGACGCCCGCGACGCGTCCGCCAGCCCGCGACGCGCGGCCGCCTACCAGGTGAGATCGGAACGCGGCCGGACCTGTGAGGGGTCGGGATGGCAGGCGGGGCTGGCGGAGTCCGCGTCACCCCGGCTGGGTCCGATGGACCGGCTGTGTGGAGCTGCGATGAGCGCCTCGCTCGAGCTTGATGTTGCACGTAATGGCCTGGATGAACGCTGGGCGGCGAGCAATAACCGGAAGCGCTCGCCATTCAACGGGATTGGATGATGTTCCCCTCGCGCAATTATTTCCCAATGCGGAAACTGCGCTCGGGTGTGACGGTTTCGATCAGCTGCCTCGCAATCGGCCGGCACCTGTGACAAGTCAGCGGGCCGGAAAGATCGCGGCAGCAGCGTGAGCGGGGAGGAGGGGGAGGGGGAGGGGGAGCGGATTGGCGGGGGATCGCGGCCGCCGGGTGTCACCGGAACCTCGCGGCCGGCCTGCGATCGTGGGAGGTCGCCAGCGCGCGCCGCTCGGCGTCCGTTCCGCCGCTGTGCACGCCGCGCGCCGGCTCTGTTTGAGTTGCCGGCGCGTGTTTGAACAGCGGCCAGCGAGGCTGCGTGGGCCGGCGGCGCGGCGGCGGTGCGTGCCGAGCGTTTGCCGCTTGCTTAGTTATCGGCGCAGCGCGGTTCGAGCGCCCGACGCGTCCAGCTATCGCCAGCGGGGACCGGCGCCGCGTCGCGGCCACGTCCGAGCGACGAGAATACCACTGCGCCCGGCGAGAGCCGACTCAAGCGCGGGCTCCAGCTGCGTTTGCCCCGACGGCCAACCGTCTCGGCAGCGTTTGAATTTGAACTGTGCGTTCGGGTCCGGCTGCGGTCACGTGAGTCATCGGCGACATCCGACCCGCGCCGCGCCGCGCCAGCCCGGCCGGCCGTCAGTCAGTCAGTCAGTCGGGGCGTCGCACTGTGAAAGTGAACAACATGCCCTGTCGTGGTGAGAGCCGAGCGCGCGCACCCGGCAGCACGTCAGGCGGCCCGCCGAAAAGTCAATCATGGGAAACGTCGCCAGCGTAAGGCTATTGTTGCGCGAATGAATGACGTCATATCGGCGCGGGTGGCTGTAACCGTTTAGAAACGTCCCGGCGGACAATGGACTTGGAAACGACGCATAGAATTGGGGGAGAGGGGGCGCGGGCGCGCCGGCGCACCGGCGCAGCGGGCGGCGCGGTGTTGTTCCTCGTGAGCGCTCGTAATAACCGTGTAACTGCTGTGCGGCGCGCGCGTGACGGTCGCTTTAGCCTGCCGGGCGTCGGCGCGGCCGTGTCGTTAGCTGGACACGTGGGGGAGGAGGCGTGGCGATCTTGCTCGTGCTGTCTTGTTTTCAGCTGGATCCGTGGCGGGGCTGGTGCTCTGCCGTTTATGGTCGTGTTGTTGGCTGGACACGTGTCGGGGTGACGAATGGGATGTGGACGGGGTCTCGTGTGGCGAGCGGTGGCTCTCGCTCTCACAGTCATGTCGTTAGAGGGAGTGGCGTGCGTGTGAATGGGTGTGCGTGGTGACCGTGCGCCGCTGTCGATGTCGGCTCCGACACCTGCAGCTGACCGAGGTGACTACGCTCGGCGCTGGTCAGCTGAACGTGCGCGGCTCTCCGCAACCCGCCACTGACCTGAGCCCGCCCCGTTCCAGTCCCCCGACGCGTCGTCCGCGTCGCCGGCGGCCGGCGGCGGGCGGCGGGCGCGCGGCCCGCGCCCGCCACCGCCGCACCGCACCAGCTCGATGTCGTCGGTGCCGCGCCGTCTGGAGCCGGCGGCCGTAGCCAGCTCGGGCAGTGAGAGCAGCCTCGCCTCGGCCGGCCCCGTCAGCACCTCGTCGCCGGTGGTGCGCCGCCGCTCCCAGGTCAGTCCCACGCGCCCGCGCGGCCGTCAGCTCAGAGCCGCGTGCCAGCCATGGCGAGGCTGGTACGCCCGCAGCGTGCGCGCTCTCCTGTCGGCGCGGTCGTCTGCTGGCCCCTTCCTCAGTACTTGTACGGGGCGAGATGATCCGACCCGGCACCGTGGTCGCTCTCCTATCGGTGCGGTCCTCTGCTGGCCCGCCTCCTCGGCACCTGCACGGTGCCAGGTTACCCCACCCGGCACCGTGGCCGCTCTCAGGTCGGCGCGGTCCTCTGGCCTCCTCGGCACCTGCACAGTGCGAGGTTACCCCATCCGGCACCGTGGCCGCTCTCAGGTCGGTGCGGTCCTCTGGCCTCCTCGGTGCCTGGACGGTGCGAGGTTACCCCACCCGGCACCGTGGCCGCTCTCAGGTCGGCGCGGTCCTCTGGCCTCCTCGGTGCCTGGACGGTGCGAGGTTACCCCACCCGGCACCGTGGCCGCTCTCAGGTCGGCGCGGTCCTCTGGCCTCCTCGGCACCTGCACGGTGCGAGGTTACCCCACCCGGCACCGTGGCCGCTCTCAGGTCGGCGCTGCGGCAGACGGTCTGCTCCTCCGCGGCATCGAGGAAGGATAATGATCTTGTAACCCAGCGACCTTGAGTACGAGTCCCAGAGCGGGCACGTTCTTTGGCCGACTTGTTTGACTTGGCGCGCCGGCCCCGGCCCGGCCCCGGCCAGCCGACTTTCTGCGTGTCGCGTTTCCCGCCTCTCTGGGGTTTCGGGTCGTGTATCGGCAGACCAGCAGCTCCGCATGCTCAGAGCCTCGTTCCCAACAGCGGAAGCATCTGAAGGAAAGTTGGTTTTTATTGCTTGACACAAACAGGTGGCGTGGTCACGACCATCAGCGTCTCGATCTCGCGCCGACCGTAGCGGGCAAACCGTACCTCAGCCATTAATTAACAAGTCTCGAATCCGCATCCTCGTTGGCTATAGTGGTCCCGACGCGCCGTCGTGTGCCGACCTCAGGCAGACGCTAGCAGTGCTCCACCATGTCTTCGGTTCTCCGCCCCGAGTCTGGCTACGATCACCGCTGTAAATTAAGACAGGTTGTTTGCTTCAGCAGCGGAGTTTGCAGTAGATTAAGGTCGACGTTGTTGCGCAAACTAAATTAAGCATAGATGTTTGTCTCCCGAATTAGCATAATGCGGTGTAGCACCGCTGCGCCCCGGTCCAAAGTGATGATTCATACCGAACATTCATGTTTGCACGAATATTCTAGCTTGAGTCGAGCAAGCACGAATGGGTCTCGCTTGGGCTATCGGCGCGGAATCCCATTTCTATGAATATCTGAATCTGAAGCCGGCTGCGAGCGGAACTGATTTCGCCAGCTTCTGGCGCGGCCGGGTGCAGTTTGCCGACTAACGGCCGGCGCACCGCGAACGACGCTTTTTATCGTCTCCGCTGAAGCTGGCCGCCGCCTTTACGAGAGCCGATGGGGCGGCGCCGCGGGGCCGGCAGATTGGAGTGGAGGTGCCGGCGTCGGCCTTGGTCGGGCGGCTGAGTCACGGCTGGGAGACCGGCGACGGCGCCGACGGAAGGCGACGGCCCCAGGCGATCCGGTCGGCGGCCCGTGTGTCACGTCGGATGGGGCAGACTTCCGAAATCTCGACGGGAGAACACGTTCTGTCCAGACTGCTGGCGATGAGGTTTAATCTGGCGGGCCCCCTGTGGAAGCAGAATATCAAGGCGCTGCCAGCGTATATTTGCACAGCTGATGCGCCTTGATGCACGAAGCAGTCGGCGGGAAATCCTGCTGGAGAGATTGAGTCACTGGATTTTTGAGCGACGTGTTATCCAGCCGTGTCGCGAACCGTCACCAGGTCACGTGAGAGACCACCCGGTGCGGTTGGCCATGCGCTCCCTGCGCCCCTCAGCGCGCCAGAGTAGGCGTTGACCTCCGTACCGCCGGGCGCGCCACCGCCGCAGCCCAGCTCCGGCTCCACGCGCCGCGGGGACGGCGGTGAGCGCTGCCGGCGGCCGCCTGTGGTCGGCGCCCGGTCCGGCCTGCTGCGGCCGGTGTCCGTGGCGTGCCGGGGCGGCACTCGGCGGCGCGGCGGCACGGCAGGCCGTCAAGGTCGGCCCGACGGCCGCTGCGTGCGGCGCCGCAGCCTAACGGCGCGGACAGCGCGGCGTGGCCACCGCCAGCCAGGCGCCGTGACGCGGCTCGCGAACGCGCCGGCCATGTCAGTGACTGACGCGTGGCGGCCGCCGGTCGCGTCCAGCGTCGAGCCGAGGCCTGGTGGTCGTGTCTGAACGCGACCGGCCGCGTGGTCCGCATCGCCCGGACCGGCCGCCCCGGCGCCTGTCTTGGCGGCCTCCGTCCGTGCCCCTGACGCTGCGGGAGAGGCCGCGGTAGGCAGGCGGCATCACCGAGCGGGAGCCGTCGCGGTTAGCCTCCGACCTGCCGTGAGGCGGCCGTCGCGTGCTTGAGCCAGCGCCTCGTTGTGATCGGTGCCGGGCGGGCTCGGTCGCCGGGCGCGGCTGGGCCTCCCCGGCGCGTGCGTGCCGGCGGAGCGTGGTGACCCGGGGCGGCCGGGAGCCGCGGCTGCACGGCCAAAGGTCCCGATCTTGGCCCAGTCATGACTGCGCAACGACCTGGCGAAAACACCACCCTCGGCCCCGCCGCTGCCAGAAGCCGCCGCCCGTTTGCTATTTATGAACGTTAAATCTTCTGCGCCGCCGAGTTTCCTCACTTGGCTATGCGTCTGCGCTCGGGGCCGCAACAACAAGGGGCGGGACCATGGACTCGTTGCGTATGCAGCCTGGCTTGCACTGCCGGCTGGGATGTGGCGAGGGGTTTTGCCGTACCGTGCATTTTGCTGACTCGACAAAACGTGACAGGGTGCGGGCGCATGTCCAAACGGCGTTTGTTGTAGTTATACCCATCGCACGCGCTTTCTCTACCGTAAAGTATGGCCAAACCATATGCATGTGTGTATGTGGTATTAAAGTCTTACATGACATTGCTGCTGCGCATACGCGCGTTATGAACAAGACACAATCAAGTTGAAATAGCTAGTTACGCCAATAAGAATAGGTGTATGGTGAGATGTCAATTAAAGAGCCCACAAATACTCAGTTGTAAATACTACAGGACACAAATCGCAAAGCCTTCTTTACAATTTGATGCGGCTAAGACAGCTTATTGCATGGCATTGTATGCTGCTTCGAAGCTGCATGTGTTTCATTCGTAAAAAGCCGGGACGTTAGGTGGGTGCAATGCATCTTTTCTTTTGCACGCACGTCCGTGTGCCGGTTGACGCCGATCTCTTCGGAGTCCGTCGGCCTGTCGGCAGCGCGCGCGCGTGTCTGGCCCGCCTCTCGGCCCGTTTCCGGCCCGAGCAGCTCGCTCCGCCTGCGCCGCGTCGCCGGCAGCGGCTGCTCTCGTTAGCGGCGTCCGGCCCGCTGGAGGCGCCGCGCCGGAACTCTCGTCAGCGGCGTCCGGCGCGGCCCGACGGCGGCCGGCGGCCGGCACGGTGCCGTCCGCGGCGCTGGGGGTGCCGTCACGGGACACATTCGCCGCGCCAGGGTGGGACTTCAGGTTCGTCCTGGCCAAAAATGGCCCACATGCGTCTAAGCGTCGCGCTGCGTAATGCGTCGAACGAGGCGGCGCGCGCGTGCGTCGGACGGTCCTGAAAAGACCGGTGTGGGTGAATTCGGAAGTTTGCTCACGCCACTCAGGCCCGTGTTTAATGTTATTAGTTATCACTTTTGAACTGTCCAGGATGTTCATCTGGTTACCAGGCAAAGTTTCGCTGGTGAAAGCGCGGGTCTGAAAAGTTTTGCGGAGCACGTTTGTCCTGGAAAAGCTTGAAAGCTAGATTTTCATGGTGAGGCTGTGTTGAAAACTTGGTCATAACGCCTGACTACCCCGATTCACTGCAGCCTTGACTGGGATAGGATCTCCGGTCACGACATTGTAAATCAAACTTTCTTTCTAATCGTGTTGTTGAAGGGCAGGTCTATTCGTGCTCTGTCATGCGCTCGTGTATTGGAAGACTTCCTTTATTGGCTTGATGGAAGCGTGGGGTTAATCAAAGGATGGAAACACAGAGTCATGCCGACCTCTCCCAAGCGTTTCCCCCGAAACCCCGCGTTGCGGTTTTCTTGACGTCGGTTGGTCGAGCGTGGCACGTTTCCTTTCACGATGGCCTGGTGACCGCGTCGCCGGTCAGACGCAGCTGGTCCGGCCGATCCGCGATTAGTGAAGCATCTGGACGACGGAGAGAGAGGGAGAGTCGTCCCACAAACAGAGTCATCTCACGTGCCTGGTCATAGTTCACCCGACAGTGTGTGTGGAACTGTGGGTGGGGGCGGATCTAGCGGTGCCTCGGAGAAGAGTGTCTGAAGTAGCCGCATGTATCTCACAGCGTTTGCTAGCTGCGCTGCGGTGGTTACGTCGATGTCTCCCCGCACGACCACCATCCGCGCCTTTGCCGTTCCGGTGTCATAGCGCGCTGCGGCCGGGGATTAAGCGCACTCGCCTGCGGGTCACATCTACGCGTGCCCGGAGCCTTCAGCCCTCCGTGACCCGCCGCCCTCCGACCGCGCCGCGGCGGTAGCGCGTGGCGCAACCGCCGTCGGGCCGGCCGGCGGCCCGCCGTATGAATGGCCTCTAATAAGCGGCGGCCGCGGCCGGCCCGCGACGAGCCGGCCGTGTCCGAGGCGGGCAGGGCGGCCGCCGATCAGTCAGCGCCGCCGCGACGGCACGGGCGTCGGCCGCTCCGCCGGAGAAAGGCCCCCGATGGCAGGCACCGCGTGGGGTCGGGCCGTGGCGACACGGCCGGGGCGGGCCGGTCGCCCCCGCGCGCCGGCCGGCCCGGACCGGCACGGTGCGTGCCGGCGACGCTGCTGACAGGCGGGGTGGTCGGTGTCTTCGAGACGCCGTCTGTCCGGCTGACCTAATTGGACGGCGGCGTGCGGTCAGCCGCGGACCACACACGGCTCCCGGCCGCCTCGGCCCGTGTGAGAAAACACGAGCACAATCAACAACCTGTCAGAGGCTTGCTCTGCCGGTCAGCCTGCCCGAAGCTGTCGGAGCCGCTCGAAGGCTTGCTCAGCCTGTCAACCTGTCCGAACCTGTCGGGGCCGCTCGAAGGTGCCCAAAACACTGTTGCTTCAATCGCCAATCATGTGCATTCGTAACAGATGTAACGGATAGCTGGCCAGACCTCGGAATAATGTCACACCGGCACTGAACGTGACCACATCGTGCCGCACCGCGGCGGCTCGCGGCAGCAGCCGTGGGCGCGTGCGTGACCGTGTCGTGCCCTGTTGCAGCGTTCGTCGAGCGGCCGGCGGCCGGCGGCGCGGCCCGCCTGCGAGGTGGACGGCAGGGAGCCGGCGGAGAGGGCCGGCCGCGCCACTCAGACCACCTCCTGCAAGGTAAACACGGCCGCCGCCGGCTCCATACCACCGGCTGTGTAAGGCGCGCGCCGCTGAGGTGCCCGGCTTGGGACTTGGCCGCGAATGAGGGTGTCGTGGTCATTTTGTGCCTTTGGAGATGCGCTTCAAATGGTTATCGGGGTACGCAAATGGGCACGTTAGCGATAAATGGCACTGCTTTGTGAGACCAAATTTGGGAGCTTTGGATTGTTTTAAAGGCAGTTTTCTCGAACAAATTTTACCGGCTTAGTGTCTTGTTACCATCGGGTGGTGGTTTGTTGGAGAACTATAGAAGCGTTAAATCATGTTAATGTGGTCTCGTGATGATGGTCGTAGAAGCTTGAAGTGAAGTAAGATTATGCTTAATTTGAATTAATTTATGCAATGTCGAAGACATTCTGCAACAGCTTAATCCAAGTCTAAAAAAACGGAATAATTCGTAACCCTCGCAGACTGGAAATCATTAGTCGCGTCGAAGCTGTCGCTCCAAAATCATTTCCCGTCATTACTAGGCGCTGAGATCAGCTCACCCGGCGTCACCGCGCAGGCGCCTCGCTCTTCCAGGCGTGCCTGACGCGCGTCGTCTGGCCCGGGGACGGGAGCCGCCGGCGGGTCGGGGGCGAGCGCCACCGGGCGGGCGTGGCCACTCTGTTTGTATCGTGTCTCGGGCCGGGCCGGCGGCGGGCCGCCCATCACCATTAGTGGACACGCGCGCGGCCGTGCCGTGCAGGGGTCGTGCGCGGCAGCCGGACGGTCAAGGTCGGGGCCGGCGCACGCGGCACGGCCGGCGCCGCGGCCGCCGCGGAGGCCAGCCCGCTATTTCCACAGTGCAGGCTGTGCTGCTCGCGCGCGCGCTCTTTCTCTCTCCCCGTCTGTCTCCGCAGCCAGGCCGCCCCTGGGGGACATGTGCCGGCACCTGACCTGGCTGCAAAGCTTGTAGCCCTCTCGGAGACCGCCGAACAGCTGCGGCCGCCGCCGCCCCAGGCATCGGCGGCGGCAAGAGTCGTCCGTGAAAGCGGCGAGCCCTCGTATTGTTTACTGTGGGACGCGCGCTCGGCCGAGGGCGGACGGACGCGTTGTGAGGGGAGACGTCACGCTGCACAGGAGGCGAAGGCCAGGATGCGAAGCGAGCTGTCACGCGTGCGCCGCGCCTCCCGCGAGGAGGCAAAGGGCGGCCTCTTGGTGACATTCGAAGCTTGTGGAGGCTTTGTCCTCGTATGTATAAAGCTGGGGCTATGTTTAAGCGCCAGTGATGACAGGCACCAAACCAGAACACGGGACATTAAAAAAATATCACGTCGGGTTCAGCGGGACACGACGTGTTATTCCACTTGGCGAAAAAATGTATTGTCCCTCCACCTACAGCCCGGCAGTGTTCTGTCCTGGCGCTTGTCGCCGTGTGCGTGCCGGCGTTGCTGACCACGGCCCCGCTCCAGCGTCTCCGTCCGCCGCCGCAGGTGCCGGAGATCGTGCGGAAACGCCAGTACCGGGTCGGCCTGAACCTCTTCAACACGAAGCCGGAGCGCGGCATCGACTACCTGATCGGGCGCGGCTTCCTGGACGAGTCGCCGCACAGCGTGGCCCGGTTCCTCATCACCCGCAAGGGCCTGAGCAAGCAGATGATCGGCGAATACCTGGGCGACCTGCAGTCACCGTTCAACGCCGCCGTCCTAGAGTGAGTACCGATGATAATGATGAGAGCGCTGTTTCCCTCACGCTGCTCACAGTTGGTGACACATGGGCATTAAGGCGTCCGCGGGCTGCTATGGTCAGCTCTTCCCAATCGTAGCCTTAAACTTGCATGGACACTGCATGATTGAAGGCTCGATTTGTAACAGACCCTGCGATGTAAAATTAAAATGATTGACAACTTACGTCTTCATGAGTGTGCAAAGCGGTACTTCAGCGCCTTTAAGAGCCACTTTGGAGCTCCAACCGACTACGGGCGACAAAAGTCGACCTTGGTCTGAATTGATGTGTCGCGGTCGTAGCGCTGAATGCGTCAAGAGCCGTCGAGCGCCACTTGGCCTTCTGTGCCCCGTGTCGTGTTTCGGCTGCGCCGGTGGCAGGAGTGGTGCTTGGCCACCCACCGCCTCCGGTTTCTTCTCTGGCTGCGCGGTGCTCGGTATTTTTAATGACGCCGGCGGCCGGCGAGCGCGAGCGGCGGCGCGGTGGTCCGTCCGTCGGCGGCGGCGATCGGTCAGCGCTGGCGCCGGACACGCGCCGCGCCGCGCCGCGCGGGCCCCCGCCGGCCCCGCGGGCGCGCTCCCACGCCGCCCGGTCGGTTGCCGGGCGGCGGGGGCCACGATTGTGGTCGGGCGCGCGCTCTGACGGGGTGTCGAGCCGCGCGACCACGCCCGGCGCGACGCTGGCGGCCGGCGCCGGCGGCCGGCGCCGGCGCTGGCCGCTTTGTCCGGCGCCCCGTGATCGGTGACGGTATCGCGTCATCTATAATGGAGCTGCGCGATCGCGGGCCGCCGATGCAGCGGCGCCGGGCGGGTTCGATTTTCCCGAGTTTCTCCGGCGGCAGCGGTGTGTGGCCGCCACCCTGGAGCGCTGCCAGCTTAACCGAGTGCGCCGAGGGAAACTGGAGAGCCGACGACAAAAGGTCCTTCGCGAGGGCGAGACACAGCCGAAGTTGTCTAAGAGCGCGCGCCGGCGCTCGAAACGATTGTCGTCGCGCTTCGGCAGCGGATGGGTTTTGCTGCCTGTTTTGCCCGGCTTCTTCGTCGAATCGGTGGGCGTCGCCGGCAGGGGCTCGCCTATCCTGGTGCCGTCTTGCGGCCGCTCTGACGGCTGTCGTGCGGAGTGAGATGCGGCGCCGCGGGACGACGCCTGCTCGTATCTGGTTACGAGGCGGTGGCCATGGTCGGTGCCTCGCTCCGGCACGGCAGCTGTATTCCCTGTCTCTGCGGTGGCGGCGGCGATTGAAAGCGTAACGTGGTGCTGTGCCGTGGTTGACGGCCGTCGGCACCAAACGTACACCGCTCCGTCGCGTGTGGTAGGCAGTTTCTCTCGCGGTGCATGTCACAGGATAGGTCGCTGCCGGATTTGGCGATGCTCTGATCGCGCCCCGAGCAGGCTGGGACTGGGCTGCGATGGTACTGGTCCACATCGGACTGGAATCCGTTACCATCGTAACCGTCGCAGCGCTTCAATGCGTATTATCCCCCCGTGTTGCAATATTCATTGACCCGGTGGGTCCGTGCCACCCGGTAATATCGTTTTAGCCGACGTTTAGCCAGCTTGCGTGCCGGCGGAGAGGCTCCCCACGTGGGCCCGGTCGGTGCGTTCCGTGACCGCAGCCATTTGACCTCACACCGGACTCTTGACCCCGCCGTCTCAGTGGCCGCGCGGGTCAGCCCGGCCGCTGCGGCGGCGGCAGTGTCAGAGGGAAATGGAGCCGTTCCGCGCTCGGACCACCGACCGGCCGGTGTCGTAACGCGGACCGACCTCGTTAGCCGGGCGCCGCGGCCGGCCGGGTCGCGGCGGCTGGCCCCGGGTCGGCCGGGTCAGCGGGCGCGTGCGGCCAATTGTGCCCGAACCGGCCGCGGTGCGCCATCCGCTGACGGCCCGCCCGGCGCGGCGGCTGAGGCCGGGCACTCGGCGCTCGCATACGCGGCGAGCTAGACCCACTTTGGAACATGCAGACGAGCAAATTGTACCATACTAGTTATCGCGGCGGGGATTGTGATTCAGATGTAACATATGGCATAAAGCGGTAATCAAATCGCATTTAAAACCGTTTTTCCCTGATCGTCTATCAAGGTATTTTCCAAACAAAACACTACCAAAATCGCGTTTGATGTGTATTGGTTGTTGGCAATGCTTGCCTAAAAGCAGGGGTGATGGCCCATTACTGGGTGCTCTGCAATTTTCGCCCAAAAGGGGTGATAATCACACAGTTTTGCGCGTTCCTAGTGGGAAGGGGGGCAGATCAGCATGGTTTTCGGTAGCATGTACATATGCACGTGTATGCGGTGCTGACGCCGCTCGTGTTTCTCTCTGCAGGGCATTCGTGCAGGAGCTGGACTTTTACAACATGCAGCTGGATACGGCGCTGCGGAAGTTCCAGACCTACTTCCGCCTGCCGGGCGAGGCGCAGAAGATCGAGCGGCTCATGGAGGTGAGAGTCGTCCCGCTGTGGCCCTTCACCGATCTGCCAGCAGGGTCGCCGTCCGTCCCCTAGGCTGTCCCGGTCGCCGTCCGTCTCCTCAGCTGTCCCAGTCGCCGTCCGTCTCCTCAGCTGTCCCAGTCGCCGTCCGTCCCCTTCGCCGTCCGTCCCCTCAGCTGTCCCAGTCGCCGTCCGTCTCCTCAGCTGTCCCAGTCGCCGTCCGTTCCCTCGGCTGTCCCGGTCGCCGTCCGTCTCCTCAGCTGTCCCAGTCGCCATCCGTACCCTTCGCCGTCCGTCCCCCCGGCTATCCCGGTCGCTTTCCATCGTCTCAGCTGTCCCGGTCGCTGTCCGTCCCCCCTCAGCTGTTCTGGTCGCCATCCGTCCCTTTTGCCGTCCTTGTCACAGGCCCCCGTCCTGACCCGGAGACGAGGGGTGGTGCGCTTGACTACGGCCTGTATATCGCGCCGCTGCTGGGCGACTGTGGCCACCCGCCGTTCGTTCTAACCGGGGGGGGGGGGGGGGGGGGGGGTCTGCCTGCGACGTTTGGGACCCGGCTCCAGCCGGGCAACAGTTCTCGAGCTGCTGAGACGCCGGACGCGCGCTGCGAAGCGGCTGAAAGCGTTGCACCGCCGCCGCCGCTGCCGCCGCCCCCGCCGCCGACCGAGGAGATCACTGCGGGGTCATGCCAGACGGGGCGGCGTTTTTGACAGACAGCTGAACAGGCTGACGGCGGCAGCTGGGGAGGGGGAGGGGGTCCTGGACCAGCTCAGGCTAATCGATCCAGTCCTGCCGACGGACCGGCGGCGGGGTCATGACCGGCAGAGGGGGAGGAGGGGAGGCTGGCACGTGGCCAGCCGGCGGCCGGCGGCCGACCGACGGTCTCCGCCTCCGACGCCGCCCTCTGAACAAAACCAGTTCGGGCGCGCTGCGACCGCTGGCGCTGGGCCCAACCGGCGACTGGTTTCTCTCTCTTTTTTCACGACCTGGCTGTGCGGCCCGCTGTAGCGGTAGCCCTGAGAACAGGTTTCGGAGAGAAACGTCAAAGTAAAAGCGCACCGGGCTGTATACGTTTGTGTCTGCGATTCGTCGGCGCCGGCCGTGTATAGACCCGGACAGCCACAAACGTCAGGTGGCGGCAGCGTATTGTCATATCTCACCGCCGCGGCGACCGGCCGCCTTGTCGCCTGTTCGCGCCTCAGCCGAGCCCGGCAGTCGGACCGGTCTCAGCGGCTGGTGTTCGTGGGGTTCAGCAGCGGGTATCATGAAAGTCTGCTACAGCCGCCGACCAGTCGGCGAGTGGCCTTTGATTGGTCTGAAAGGCTGTACGCGTCCAGGCACCATCACCAATGCTCGCGCCCGAGCCACGTTTCACGGAGGTTGCGTGACCCGAGTGGCCGTGCGTGCCGTTTAGTCGAGCGGGACCTGAGCCCGTTGTATTTAAAGCCGCGTCAGGAGTTATGAAACGTCAGAGATAGCCCGCTGTAGGCATTCATTCCACCGTCCTGTTGTTACGAAATGAGGGTTTGAATAGGCGCTCGGTCGGCGATGTGACTGAAAAATTTTGATTTGCTGAGCGCGTTGTCCGGCGCTGCTGCAGGTGTTCGGCCAGCGTTACTGTCAGTGCAACCACGAGTTCGTGGCCAGCCTGAAGACGCCGGACACCGTGTTCGTGCTGGCGTTCGCCATCATCATGCTCAACACGGACCTCTTCACGCCCAGCATCAAGGCCGAGCGCAAGATGAAGATGGATGACTTCATCAAAAACCTGCGCGGTGAGCTCGGCGGGATGTGGGAGCTGGTGGCTTGGCTGGCGGCAGTGGAGTGCCGTGGCTCGATGCCAGTGGATTTGGGTGGTGGAGTCGAGAAGTCGTGAGCCTGGTATTTATGTCTGTTTATTAATTATTTCTTTCTATTTTATGATCCGGTTTGCTGCACTGGCATGGTCGTGGAAATTCCCACGCTTATAACCATTTAGTCGTAGAAACAACATTCGGGACAAGGAAAGTACGGGCTGGTGGGGAGGGCGCATCAGGGTGTCCGTTCCGACGGTGGCTCCCTCCTTTGACTCCCGCTGATGTCCCGACAGGCATCGACGACGGCGCCGACGTGGACCCGCAGCTGCTGGCCGGCGTGTACGAGCGGGTGCGTGCGCACGAGTTCCGTGCCGGCGCCGACCACGTGACGCCCGTGCTCAAGGTCCAGCAGACCATCATCGGCAAGAAGCCGGTGAGTGCCGCCGGCGCCGACGGCGCGTGGCCGCCGGCGGGACGCGTACCGCCGGCCGGCCGGACGCTATCGACCGGGTGACTCATCGGCGCGCGGCCAGAGCCGGCTCTTGCGCGGAGAGCCGGCCCGGCCGCCACGGAAAGGCCGTTCGGCCGTGCGCTCGGACTTAACGGCGGTAACGACGGGTGGGACGGTGCGTGCGGGGTCCTGACGCCATCTGTGGGACGGTTTCAGCCGCTGGCGCTGCCGCACCGCCGTCTGGTGTGCTACTGTCGCCTGTACGAGGTGCCCGACGCGTCCAAGAAGGAGCGGCCCGGCGTGCACCAGCGTGAGGTGTTCCTCTTCAACGACCTGATGCTCGTCACCAAGATATTCAGCAAGAAGAAGAACGCCATGACGTACACGTGCCGGCAGAGCCTGCCGCTGGCCGGGCTCAGTGTGTCCGCCTTCGATCTCTCGTGTAAGTCGAGCTCTGGATAGTCAGTCGCCACTGTCGGTGGCTTGTTGATGCGAGCGGCTTACTGTGTTACACTTGGCGGCTGGCTGATAAGGTAAGTGGCTGGTTGGTACGGTGCAGGGTACCGGACGCTGCTTCATTCAGCGGGGAAACCAATTTTTGTGATGAAGTGTTTTTCCCTCGATTATGCTCCTGGGGCTAACACTATAGCATAGGATAATAAAATAGCTTTCCATCAATTATGAGTTCCTCTCTGGGATGAAGGTCACAGTATAACACAATGATATCAGACGGGTGGTCACTTGCCGCTTCGGCTCCTGACCACAGCCGCGCAATGCCGATCGTAACGCGACTGCGTCATCGCAGCTGCACCGCTAACTCCCGCCCTCTCCGTTACAGACTACCCGTTCGGCATCCGCCTGTCGCAGCGCGTCGACGGCAAGGTGCTGCTCACCTTCAACGCGCGCAACGAGCACGACCGCACCAAGTTCTGCGAGGACCTGCGGGAAAGCATCCTCGAGATGGACGAGATGGAGGCGCTGCGCATCGACGCCGAGCTCGAGCGCCAGAAGGCCAGCAGCGCTCGTGGCAGGTCAGTGGCCGGGCGGGGCACGATCGGACGGGCGTGTGGCGGCGGTTAGCGGACCTGGAGTCGGTGGCGACGGTGTGCGCGGGATGTGTCGCACTTGTGTCGAGATGACGTGCCCGGTCGCGCTCGGGCTTGCAGCTCAACGTTTGTAGTTAGCCGGGCCGGGACGGCGCTCGGCGTCCTTGACCTGCGTGGACCGGGCGTCCTGTGGCGTGTCGCACCCCCGCGAGTGCGCCGCGTCAGCCGTCCGCTCCCGTGCGCCGCGCACGCCGCCGCGCAGCTCACCGCACGCTCGCGTCTGTTGCAGCCGGAGCTCGGAGAACCGCGACTCGGGCGTGGCCGACGTGGAGGAGGTGTCGGACGGCTCGGCCAAGTCGGCGTCGGGCCTGAAGCGGGCGGCGCTCTCCAACTCGCTGCTGGACATGACGGAGGCCGGCGGCCGGCCGCAGCGGCGCGGCAGCGTCGGCTCGCTCGACTCGGGCATGTCGGTCAGCTTCCAGTCCAACAGCACGGCGTCGGTGCAGGCCGGCAGTCCGCCGCGGCCGCCGGGCGCTCTCCGCCTCCCCTGAGGCGTGCTGGGCGCGGCCGGCGCCGGCGGCTGCCGCTGACTGCTGCTGTCGACGGCCGCTGCTGACGGCGTGGGCAGCTGATGCTGGCCATCCGCTGGTCTGCATCGCGGTCAGCAGCTGGTGCTGGTCCGGCCGCTGCGTCGGCCTGCTGCAGTGGGGTCCGCACAGCGCAGCGAGCGCCTCTGCCCAGCAGGTCCGGACGGGCTGGGCGGAGGGCCTAGCCAGGGGTTCACGCTCGTTGAGGCGACACTGCCTTTGTAGGGGACGATTTATCATTTCATATTGAGTCAACTAACCACATTCTAGTCTATATGCGTGGTCGGTCGAGCGTGAGTCTTTCGAGGGGGACGAATAACTGTGTACATACGACCAACCGCCGAGAGATCCGTATCACGTAGGAGTAGGTGGCTAGTGGCCAAATATGATCATTATTTTGATATCTATTCCAGACTTATTTGTTACATTGTGGCCATGTGATGGTGTTGCCCGCCTTATTTTACAAATAAATGATGTTTAAATGCTGCGTTTTTCTCGGCGCCCGCGGACGTGCTGTGGCGCGACATGGCGTTTGGTGAGCTCTGCAGTCTGCCGACCTTGATGTACCAGGCTGTTGAGGGTGCACACGCCGGGGGGTGGGGCAGCAGAATCTTGATATCGAGTCTCTGTCTCTAATGTCATGTACGGTGCGAGTTGCGATGTTTCCTGCGGGCTGCAGGGGCAGGCCTGCGTGCTTGCAAGCGTGCCGCGTTGCTGACCGCGCCACCTGCACTCTTACGGCGACTGCTGCTAAGATCAGTCCGGTACGCGCACGCCGCCTGGCGGAGCTGTGCGGCATTGACTGGCGGAAGCGCCGGCAGGCAGCGCAGTTCTGCTGGCGGAGTCGTGCGGCAGCGCTGAACCGCGGACCGGAGGGCGGGTTGTCGGAAGCTGGCCGACGGTGACTCAGGACAATGCTCCAGGAGAGCTTCCTGCCCAGGCGTGAGGCGCACAACGCCAGACGGAGTGGGGCGCTTAACGCCGGACGGAGTGAGGCGCACAACACCAGACGGAGTGGGGCGCGCCGCTCCAGACGGAGTGGGGCGCACCGCACCAGAGTGGGGCGCACCGCGCCAGACGGAGTTAGCGGCGCCATACCAGACGGAGTTAGCTGCGCCGTACCAGAGTTAGCCGCGCCGTACCAGACGGAGTGAAGCGCACCGCACCAGACGGAGTGGGGCGCGCCACACCAGACGGAGTGGGGCGCGCCGCACCAGACGGAGTGAGGCGCGCCGCCCCAGACGGACTGGGGCGCGTCGCACCAGACGGACAGGGGCGCGCCGCACCAGACGGAGTGGGGCGCGCCGCACCAGACGGAGTGGGGCGCGCCGCACCAGACGGAGTGGGGCGCGCCACACCAGACGGAGTGGGGCGCGCCGCACCAGACGGACTGGGGCGCGTCGCACCAGACGGACAGGGGTGCGCCGCACCAGACGGAGTGGGGCGCGCCGCACCAGACGGAGTGAGGAGCGCCGCCCCAGACGGACTGGAGCGCGCCGCACCAGACGTAGTGGGGCGCGCCGCACCAGGCGGAGTGGCACGCTGCGTGAACCATATGGAACGCCCTCACCGGGGGTTTGAACAGTAAGACGCACCACTCAGATCTCTGTGTATTTCCAGAACACAACAGCTTCGGGGGCCAAACTGACGCCAATGGGGGTCATGCGCTAGTAAGCAAGGGGACAAACCCCTCTGAGAGACCCTCAGGGCTCTGTCGCCCCCTTCACCCCTGGGCCGGTTATGCATAGCCGGAGAGGGGATGGAGGCTACGAGGGGCTCAGCCAGTCGCCGAGTTGTAACTACGACTGTACCCTCACTGATGACATCTAACCGCAGCTGGTACGGATCGTCACATGAATAAATACAAATAAATAGCATAAATAGCGAGAATGCATAGTGCTTCTCGGCGTAGGCCGGTTCTGGCTGGCAACATTATCACTACAACATTTTGCCCGATAATGCCGTCAGCAAACGATCAGCTGGCACAGGATCCGCGGGTAAGACGGAGATCAGCGGAATTCATATGTAGGGAAGGATAGGGACAGGGTCGTATGATCTCCTACGCTTAAGGCAGTTAACGTTTAACATATGGAGGTGCATGAGAAAAAGGCAATGAAAATACCCATTAGTTCACCAATGATTGACTAGCTTCCTCGGTCATGCCTCGAAGCGCTTACGTGGACATCACATGTGGACTAGAGTTGTAAGCGGTACCAAACGCGGTACCTGCAATTCCCGGCATTAATACTACTGAGCATTCTATGTCAATTCGCCCGTTTCTGCACTTTGGTGTTTCTTACACAGGAGCGGTCTCGCATTGAAGCTACGTGCTCGCAATGACAAGGCCAGGGGTGTTGTATGACACGATCGCATTTGTTTGGTGGCCTCGTTACGACTGCCCATCCGATCTAATCTCTGGTGACTTGGTTTGCTGACAACCGTGGATCAGACGGACCAGCAGAAATTTTCCAAATTAAGCGTCAGATGTTTTAAAATCAAACTGCAGCCTTTCTGCATCAGCGACAGCAGACATCTAGAAATGTGGGGCGGCGAGGTTGGAATACGTCACCAGTCGGAATAAAGCATGCCTGCTAGGGTGTTCACCCACCAATCCCTCCCTGTGGGGGAGGGGGGGGGGATCCGGTACACCGGCGTGCCGCCACAGCTCGGATCCCGAAAGTATAGAACTAGGGTTGACCGTCGTAACAAGAGATGGCAGCACGGTATACGGGCGTCGGCCGGAATGAGCTCCAGTCACCATATCAGCGGCGGCACCATGCTAGCCAGCTCAGAGCACCGCCGCAGAGGGCACCACAAGAGCACAGACCGCAGCACCATCCTACCAGTCCACGGGCGCAGAGCGCCGCCTGCAGACGACAGCACCAGCCCTCAGATGGCAGCACCGGATCCCAGATGGTGGCGGGGTCCATCCTACCGTCGGCCAGCGGGCGTGGGCGAACGGGCGGCGCGCGCTCGGCGCAGCGGACTCGGCGTGTGGGTGCGGCTGCGACTGTCGCTGCTCTCGCTGTCCGACGACGAGGGTGGCGGCGCCGGCCTCTGGTACGGGATCGGTCGCTTTCGGGCGCTGCAAGCGCGCCAGCATGAACGGCCGGCCGCCGACGCGCAGACAGACAGACACATGGAGAGAAACTGCGCCAGCCGCCGAACGCGACCAGCGTCGCACCGCGGCTGCGCCAACTGTTTGTCTGCCTCCAGGTCTCAAACATTTAGCCACCCATGAACCGACTGGAATTTTCGAGAGCGTTGAATGACGAGGTCAGCTATACGCAAGGGAAAATGTTCACTGGTTTCTGAGTGACGAAGGGTTTGAGTAGACCGTGTGCGAGATGATCGTTGTGAACATCGATACGAGATAACCCAGGTGGTTCATGTACAAAGAAACACGGCGAACATTTACGGGTTAGTTAGGCATTGCTAGGGCTGAAATCGTTGTTAGGTGTAGCGTGCGGAAATGGTGTCTCACATATACCTACCTCCTCCAGGAAACTCTCCGTAGTACATGCAAAATACCAGAATTTGTATGATATATGCATAAGTTGGAGGACAAAGCCAACGCAACAGCTTCATTTTGGGAGTAGGCGCTCTTACCACATTTAATGTGAGACTGGTCCGCATTAGTGTCAATAGCAGCATGTTAGAAATTATAACGCATTTAACACAAATAAACTTCTCAGCATAACATTCACAAACTGGTGTGTGGGTGAACTATTGTTATCAAGATGATTGTCACTCAAATTAAAAAGCCGTCTTGCGGAAGAGTTGTAATATCATCACTTACAACAACTGCAACAGGCTTCCCTCACCACCGCGAAACATCCCCAACAAGCTACCAGAAATGTTAGCATGGTCAAACGACGAGGACGCTGATGCAAACCAACTGTCTTGCGCCACGAGTGCACATACAAACGAAAAGCCAAACGAAACGGCACGAAACCGAAAACAAACCAGACAGAGCATGCATCTCCCGCGAACTTCCGCGTGGCCGGAAACCGATGTCATCTGCAGGAATACAAAACAAAATGAACTGAGGCCGAAACGGAACGTAGCGTGACGAACAGAGACAGTGGTGGCACCTGGCCCAACGAGTCCCCCGCGAGATTCTGACTTACCGACGACAAACCTATGCACAGCGGCTGGGAGGTGATAAACAGAGGGTTCAGGACCTTGCCAGACGCCTCTAAGTCACGGCGAACAAATTCACGCGCTCATGCCGACCAATAGAACAGAGGCGGCCAGTCGGGGTGGCGAACGGCACCCACAGTGGCCACGGACCCAACAAGCATCCATCGCCAGGAAAGGAAGTCGGAGATTGTTTAAATAGGGTCACCTTTGAGATCGGAACGCGCGGGTCCTGCGACTGCAAGTTGTGCAACGACGATGCAAATTTAAAGGCAACCTGTGTTTTTAGAGCTTAAGACCTTTCGTCTCCGTGCAGGCCCTAGCATTTCGTTGGCGCGTGCGCACAGTAAGTCTGCACTTGAGTTAATACAACTCGCTTTGAAATTACAGCCAAGAAAAGAACACTTCATAACCTCTCGTTCAGTAGTACTTGCATGAGGTCAAATTAGGGCGCAGGCCGCTTCCCGAAAGTTTAGGTGCGGTGGAATAACTGGACATTCTATCCCATACTGGAATATAGCCACTAACTCACGGCATACCTCCTCCACGTGGATCGCCGTCAATAATCACCAATCGACACAGCCGCTGCCCGGCCGCCATGCACGTACCAATCGATCACACCGACAGCGGCGTCGGCCGCGACTCCGCCTCCGCGCCGGAGCGGCGCGGGGCACCGGCCTCCGCGAGCTGCGCCCGCGCCGCCACCCCCGCTCACCTGGTGATGCGGCGGCTGTCTCGGAAGGAGGGCGAGCCGCGGCGTCTCGGGATCGACGGAGAGCGTCGGCTGCGACGCGACGAGTCTGACGTCGCCGACGAGTAGCTGGCCGAACGCGACCGGGAGCGCGAGCCGCTGCAACAGCCGGCGGCGAGTACAGTAGGACAGCGCCAGGATCGCCATCACCCGTGACAGTCTCCGATGTTTGTGTCCGACATGCCTTTTCCCAAGTCGATCAGTAAATATCTCCCACCTTTCAAATAATGCCAGCGTGTAGAAGTTACCTGCGACTTCGACCAGACCTCCTGCTGCCCGACGACCGGCTGCGGCTGCGGCTCCTGCTGCCACTGCGACTCCAGCTGCGGCTCCTGCTTCTACTCCTGCTGCGACTCTTGCTTAAGCTTCGACTCCGACTGCGACTCTGGCTCCGGCTTCGGCTCCTTGTCGCGCTCCGGCTCCGGCTCGGGCTTTTGCTGCGGTCCCGGCTCCGACTCCTGCTGCGGCTACGGCTGCGGCTCTTGCTGCGGCTGCGGCTGCCGCGGGCGGAGGCGGCGGCTGGCGGCGACGGGGCCGGCGACTGCCGGTAGCTGGAGGGAGGGCTGAGGCGACTGCGGCGCGGCCGGGCGCGCGCCGCCGCCGGCTGCGCCGCCTTCAGCCGCGCCAGTGCCAACTGCTGCGGCCCGTCGGCGCTGCCCGACGAGCTGCTGGCGCCGGGCGAGGCGGCCTGCGGCGGCGTCGGCCGTTCGCGCTGCGCCAGCGGCGGCGGTGGCGGCGGCGGTCGCGGTGGCGAGTCGTCCTCGCCGAACTGGTCCGAGCGCCGCGGCAGGCGCGGCCGGCTCGGCATCTGGATGGAGAGCGGGGAGCGAGCGGGCGCAGCGCCGGCCGGCCGGCCACGGATCGCCGCTTGCTGAGCCGCCACCAGTCGATCGTGCAGCTCGAGCGCCGAGCCGACTGGACTGCGCTCGGTTGGCGAGCCGGGCTCCGGCCGGCCGGGCGGCGAGCCGGCCGGCGACGGCGACGACTGGCGGTGGGCGCGGACGGACACCGCAGGGCCGCCGCTGAGGCGCCGCACCGCGCCCAGAGCCCACTTGGAGACGTCGGAGCCCCTCTTCAGATCAGAACTGCCCTCGGCGTCGGAGCCGTTCTGTAGCGGTTTAGGCCTCTTCGTCTCCAGTTGAGGTTTAGTGCCAACCGTCCGGTCGTTCCGTTGTTCGCCGCACGCGAGGTCATTTCCCTTGGGAGAGCCGACGCGGTCCTCACAGCTCTTTCTCCGTGACGCGGATTTTCTGCTGTCGCCCGGAGACGCTTCGCGGGCGACTGGCTTCGGGCGCCTATTGCTGCCTCGCGAAGTGACGCCCTGCTCCCTGGGGCTTAAGCTTGGCGTAGGAGAGTGCTCGGAACCGTTTCGATTGGTCGCTGTTGACCTTTTGGCGGACACAGCCTGAAGCGGGGCAGCGGAATCAGTGCCATGGCATGCACCCTGACACGCAGTGACGGCCACAGGCTGAGGAGCAGAATCTGCTGCCAATCCAGAGCCTGGCGCCGCGGTAACGGCGAAGCAACCGCGCATGAAGAGAGTGTGTCATCACATGGAAGCACACGGATGATATGATCCACTAGACGAGAGGGCGCTGAGATATCTAGCATTCTCTATGTGAACAGGGCGGTCTGTTTCTTTGGTTTCTGTTTTGATGGTTTGGAATAATGTTGGGTTGCGAGCCCAAGGACATGACCCAAATTGGAACGATTTTACATCATGGTTACGAACGGTACATATGCATTGACAGGGATGTTTCACAACATGAACGCACCGGAACGTCTCGCGAAGAGCTGCGATCCGAGCGATGTTTGCGCCTTTTTCTCTTCTTGGGCGCTACAGAGCTGAAAAAGTGAGGGACAGAACGAGCTCTAGCTGAAGAATCGATCCGTCATGTCCCGTCAATGTCCCGTCATGTCCCGTCAATGTCCCGCCATGTCCCGTCAATGTTTCATCATGTCCCGTCAACGTCCCGTCGATGTTCCGTCAACATCCCGTCATGTCCCGTCATGTCCCGTCAATGTCCCGTCAATGCCCCGTCAATGTTCCGTCAATGTCCTGTCATGACAGTTCAGGATGACATCCCCGTTTCAAACACTACGATGCCTCAAACCAGCGGGTTTTTTTTTTGGGGGGGGGGGGGTCTTGCATTAAGGATAGGAAACACGCGTCCACTACATTCCTTCGTACCTCCACGCGTGTTATAAGCTCGTTACAGGTGAACTGCATGAGCGTTTGCGCTGAGCATCGGTCCCATTTTCAATGCGCGCCGCCGAACGACCGCATTGCCGAACTATAATTTCCGCTGATGCACCGGACCGGTGCACATCGCCTGCTGTAATGGCGCCGTTCCAGCCGTGCAAACATCCTTACAGTCGGCGGCCCCTGTGGCACGTGGCCTGGCTAATGATCATTGATATTGATCCGCGCAACACCGACGAGCGCCTTGACAAGCAGCACTGACAGCAAACACCCACGGCTGGAATATTACCCCATGTTGGCCAGCAGACTACACGTGCTCTTAAGTGCGCCCGGACCGGCATGCCCAGACCACAAGTGAGCCACGCTCCAGGCACACGCCCGAGGCACAGGTCAAAGCCCGGCCGGGCGTGCCCGCCGCGGGCCGAAGCGTGGCGGCGGCTGACCTGACGCTATCGGAGTCCTGCGAGCGCGAGCCGCGCTCTCTGCGCCGCTTCCGTCGTTTTTCCTTCTTGCTCTTGCGCGAGCGCGAGTGCGACTTGTTCCGCTTGTCCTTCTTGGCCTTCTTGTGCTTGCGGCCGGCGTCTGGGGTGCTGTCTCGCCTGCGCGGCCGGCGAAGGGTCAGAGCCGGACGGACTGCGCCGCCGGCGAAGGGTCAGAGCCGGACAGACTGCGCCCCCGGCGAAGGGTCAGAGCCGGACAGACTGCGCCGCCGGCGAAGGGTCAGAGCCGGACAGGCTGCGCGGCCGGCGAAGGGTCAGAGCCGGACAGACTGCGCCGCCGGCGAAGGGTCAGAGCCGGACAGACTGCGCCGCCGGCGAAGGGTCAGAGCCGGACAGACTGCGCCGCCGGTCGGTGCGACGGCGAGGATCGTATGCCGCACGTGCAGAGCTGACGCCGGACGGCGCCGCACGACGCGCCGACGGGGCGAGCAACGACGCAGAGACATGCACAGTCTGAGCACAGAATACGACCGAGAGCGATACGCAGCGCACGTATCTCGAACCTGATGCTCGCTTAAGCCAAATCACCGCGACCCATGATTCGGTGCTTCCCCGCTACCCACAGCCATGATAGAAGCATGCATGCAGGCATGCAAGCATGCAGCAGGTCTGTCTTTAGAGCTGGCGCGCCACGTGTGCTGGTAATGCTGGCATCCCGCCATCGGTGCCGGGCGGCATTCCGTGCGACAATATTTGCCCCACGCAATGTATGCCAGCATTCAATCGCACTAAGGCGCCGTAGACCCGGAACTCACTCGGACCGCACAAATGTGTACGCATGAAAGACGCATGATTAGCAAAACAGCACATCAGTCGGAAATCTATCGCACATGAAAAAGCTAACGACTGCTCCCCTCACACTACGTTCTCAATGCTTCGCTTCCTCCCCACAATGCCCCAGCCCCGGCCAGCTGCCCGCTCTCGTGCCCACCTGGCGCGTTTGTCGGCCGCCGCGCCGTTGCTCGTCTCGGTGGCGCGGTGCCGGCTCGGCGGCAGCTCGCTGGCGTACAGCGGTGACATGCAGCCGGTCCTATCGGCCGCGCCCGTCATCGCCGCGCCGGCCGCGCTGCAAGGGCGACGACGGTCAGGGCGGCATCAGGCGACGGCGGTTATAGCGGCGTCCGGCGACGGCAGTCAGGGCGGCGTCGGGCGACGACGGTCAGGGCGGCGTCGGGCGACGACGGTCAGGGCGGCGTCGAGCGACAGCGGTCAGACCGGCGTTGGGCGACAACGGTCAGACCGGCGTCGAGCGACAGCGATCAGGGCGGCGTCGGGCGACAGCGGTCAGGGCGGCGTCGGGCGACAGCGGTCAGGGCGGCGTCGGGCGACAGCGGTCAGGGCAGCGTCGGGCGACAGCGGTCAGGGCGGCGTCGGGCGACAGCGGTCAGGGCGGCGTCGGGCGACAACGGTCAGGGCGGCGTCGAGCGACAGCGGTCAGGGCGGCATCGGGCGACAGCGGTCAGGGCGGCGTCGGGCGACAGCGGTCAGGGCGGCGTCGGGCGACAACGGTCAGGGCGGCGTCGGGCGACAGCGGTCAGGGCGGCGTCGGGCGACAGCGGTCAGGGCGGCGTTGGGCGACAGCGCTCAGGACGGCATCGGGTGACAGCAGTCAAGGGGGCGTCGGGTGACGGCGATCATAGCAGCATCTGGTGACAGTGGCGCGCCGCTCCTAGGTGATGAGGTGCTCCATCGCAGCGTACCGACCCGGCGCCGGCGTTATGGAGCACGTCACACGGACTGCGTGCGCGCGCGCGAGGTCTCAGGCTCACCACATCAAAGATCCACTTGATAGTGTGACGTTCCCGAATGCTCGAGGCATGTGAATTATTCATCTTTAATGCCTCTACATATTTCATATATTTACCTCTGCATTTTAGAATTTGAGGATCGCATGATACCAGTAATGCTATAGTCTTTTCGAGATTATCACATGCTATCTTAATTATACGAACTCCGTGACTGTAAAGCAGCCCTCGGCGTCGTGATGGCAGGATATACTCCACTCGATCATGCTGGTTTTTTATATAGAGCGCTTTCACCTTACCATAGAGGCTCGGCCAAGCCATGGCGTTTCATCATGGTCGGTCATGTTTGCATGGGTTATGCTCAGCATGTATGGGCAAGTGTTCCAATTATATAGCAAAAAGAAGATGGCGAAAGTTCTGAAACATCTTCCACATATGTCGCATCGTGAGGTGAATGCCACTCCTTGGAGACGCTACACGTTTATGTGCAGTATTTCGAGGTTTTGCTTGGTAAAGCATCGCTCCTCCCACGGCTCGAGATCTTGTCGGGATCAAACTCGACAATAATTTTGCCCCACGCACATCGTCATCCGCGGGAATGCGCAATATAACCGTCGCTTATGAGCGATGTGTGGGTTACGCGTAGGCTGCGTGGGTGCGACTACTGCGGGGTTGGGGAATATGCCCCTCCCCAAAAGATTGTTTCCCAGAATGGAAGTTGTGTCCCCAAATTGCTCGCGTAAAATACACAAGTTTAGGCTGCTACATTCAAAATGTTACCAGGTCAGATCGCCCTACAAGATTCTGATATGCCCCCCCCCCCCCCCTAATCCAGATCTCCCCTTCCCTCCAATCCCAGCGACGTGGTGACGCCCGTGACGTGGTGACGTGACGTGGTGACGGGCCGTCGTGACGGACCCATTGGCTGATTTATGCTGTCAGCAGAAGAGAGGAGCGTCACGAGGGGCGTGTCAGAGCTTGCCACTCCCGCCGGGCCGGTCCGATCAATAGT